AAACAAAAACATATTGTGTTGTAGATTATCCTTCAATGAACTATCTTAAATGTTTAAATTAGGTGCCACTTAAATTTCTTTTATTATACCATCAATAGCTGATTAAAAAGAACCAAATATTTCTAGTACAAAAGTAAAAAAGATTGTGGTTGTTTGCAATTACAGTTTGCTCAGCTCCACAAGCAACACTCTTGGCAATAGCAGTCAGGAAATAAAAAAAAAAACTAATTGTATTGGGAAAATCTGCTGTCATGGAACTCTCTAGAGTGCTGAAAAGCAACAATGTCAAAGGTGTGCCTAATCTAGGCATTGGTCTTCTCAATTACTTGTTATGCTTCAGAGAGCTGGACAATGACTAAGGATGACAGAAGGAGAGTAGAGGCCTTTGAGTTGAGGTGCTGGAGAAGAGTCTTGAACATACTGTGGACTGCCAAGAAAACAAATAGGTCTGTCTTGGAGAGGGTGAAGCTAAGTCTCTCCTTGCAGACTAGGATTTTGAAGGTCTGTCTCACATACTTTGAGCTCTTGTCCAGGAGAGACCAGTCCTTGGAGAGGGACATCATGCTTAGAAGGGTGGAGGGACAGTTGCAGGAGCGGAAGATCTGGATGAGATGGATAGATACAGTATCTGGGGCAATGAGGGTTGCTGTGTTGGAATTAGTGAGACTGCTCAGGACAGGGGTTCAGAGCTGCTGTATATAGGGTCACTATACATTGGAGGTGACTCAATGGCACGTAACAACAAAAACATACTATATTGTGGTGGTTTTGTTTTTGTTTTTATTTTAGCCTCTTATTTAGAGTCAACAAGACCTTGAAGAGGGCCTTTGTATTTAAAAGTCAGTTGTTATTATATTTTGGGGAACATTCTTCTAAGTGGCATAGCACTCTTCTGTCAATATGCTGTACTGAGGTAACCTGGGATTACTAATGCTAAACCTTGTGCCATTAGGGTGTCAAATGCCATAACAGTTATCTATGGTGGGTAGTGTTTGGTGGAGCTCCCACTTTGAGACAGGTTTGGAAGCTGGAGTGGCATCCACTTCCTAAACAGCGTGCCTCTGGAAACTCCATGAACTTTGATAAATGACGATAGTTATAGAAACGCCTCAGGCCTTTTATTCATTGAGTCGCTATGAGTCATGCTCAACTGGACGGCCATCAACAACATGTATCTGTGCATGCTAGGTCGACACTGCTGATGGAACATGTCCATACTCAGTCTGTCTCTTCATTGCTACATGCCTCTTAATTCCACTTCAGTGAATATAGGGGTCACCATGAGTTAGCATACCTGTCAGCTCCTCTCAACTTCAACTCCTGGAAAGGACCTCTAATGGATACCAACCTTACCCTGCCTTGGAAGCCAAACTGCTTGTTCCAGTTTTAAAAGATCAGAGTCTCTCTTTTTTTCTCTCCATCTCTGTCTGTCTTACAAACGTACATTTCTTCAATCAAAAGTCCAAGGAAGATGTATTCAAATACACATCTCCTCAGAGTACTGTTGTTGCTGTTAGGTGCCATTGAGTCAAGTACCCTATAAACAAAAGATCTGAACCCTGTTCTATCCTGTGCCATCCTCATATTTCCTGACACACAAGAGCCCATTGCAGCAGTCACAGTGTCAGTCCACCTGGTTGAGGGTCTTCCTCTCCTTTGCTGATCCTCCATCCTTCCCAGCACCATGTCCCTCTCCAAGGAACAGCCCCTCCTAGTAACATGCCCAAAGTATGTGAGGTGAAGCCTCATCATTCTTGCCTCCAAGAGCATGCTGGCTGCACCCTCTCCAAGACATAGCTATTTGTTCTCTTGGCCAGCCATAGGATGTTCAGTGCTCTCCTCCAACACCACAGCTCAAAGGGGTCAATTCTTTCTGTCATCCTTATTCACTGTCCGGCTCTCAGATGCACAGCAAGTAATCAGAAAGACCATATCCTGAATCAGACACATCTTAGTCCTCAAACTGACATCATTACTCTTCAATAATTTGGAGAGGTCCCTAACAGCAGATTTTTCCCAGTGCAATGTGTCTCCTTATTTCCTGACTGCTGGTACCAAGAGTGTTAACTGTGGATCCAAGCAAGATGAAGCTGTTGACAGTTTCAATCTCCTCACCATCCATCACAATGTTATCTATCAGTCTAGCGGTAAGAATTTTTGTTTTCTTGACATTACAATCCATACCAAAGACTGCATTCCTTGATCTTCTGCAACAAGTGCTTTTTGTAGCATATATTAAATCAACAAAACCCTTAATTATTTAAACAATCTATCTTTTTATTTTATTTTATTATTTTTGTGTGCCTGTACCGTCAAATCAGATCTGACTGGTACAAGAGGAGATTGTCCCTCCTTCCCCGGCAGAGCATCTGGTGGATTCGAACCGTGCACCTCTGGGATTGTAGTTGCAGCTTCTTGCCACTAGGCCACCAGAACTCCCCTAAACAATCTATCTTAACAACACTATATCAACAACAACAAAAAACTACCCCGGAAACAATTATTCATAAAATTAAATAAACAAGAACCTTAACACATAAACCTTTCAAGGAATTAGAATTTTATTTTCTTTTTTAATGCTGTATACAGCTTTATTTTTAAATTTTTTTTTTTAAAAAAACACCTCTTTTTTTAAAAAAAAAATTTCCTGTACAGGTATTGGCGCATTTTAAGACAAACTATATACACAGATATTCTGTCTCTACACCTTTTCAATCTGTATGCAGAAGAGATCATCCGAGACGCTGGGCTATACGAAGAGGAATGTGGCATCAGGATTGGTGGAAGAATCATCAACAACCTGCGTTATGCAGATGACACAACCCTGCTTGCTGAAACTGAGGAGGACCTGAAGCGCTTGCTGGACTACAG